CGCCCCGGCTTGGACACCGGGGCCATGCAGCAGCAGAGATCAATGTGAGGGTGGCGGAGTGACCGCACGCCGTGGGGGTATGCCCCAGAGAGAGGAAAGGAGAGAGTCCGGAGCTGGAGGGCCACACCGCTCCGGGACAAGAAGACAACTCTGTGGGAAATAAGGCAAGAACCGGGGTAACTGTCACGTTAGCCCGAGTGTTCGCAAGAAAATAGCAAAAAAACAAAAAAAGAGGGGGAGATGGAGGAAAAGGAGGGGTCGGGCGGCGCGTAGGCTGGCTAAGAGAGCAGCGCGCGCCGCACGAAAGTGACAGAAGGGTCAACTTCTTAGGGTAGCAACCTGGAATGTGCGGACTTTGGCTGTAAACGGGGCCAACGGATACGGGCGAGCCTACAGCGTTCTACACGAGGCAGCGAGACAAGACGCATCGGTGGTAGGAATGCAGGAGACACGAAGGGCAGGTCGAACGGAGTTTGCAGCAGCGGTTTTCCGGGTGTTCTGCTGTGGCACGGAGACTGGTGGAGCCCATGGTGTGGGGATAGCCGTCAAAGAATCACTGTGCAAGACATCCACGTTCACTACGGAGTTTATCGACGAACGCCTTATGGCCATGAGGTTTATGTTGGCAGGCAACCGTGGAGCGGTCAACTTCGTAGCCGCGTATGCTCCAACCGAACCTTCATCCGCAAACAGCAAGCGCGTGTTCTGGGGGAAACTTGACAGTCTCGTGCCGAGGATCCCTTCCAAATAATGTGTGTATGTCCTATTGGACGCCAATGCGCGGATGGGAGACAGGTTGGACGGAGGGGACGGAAGGGTAATAGGAATGTACGGGCGTGATGAGCTCAACGACAATGGCATGCTACTGTTGAACTTCGCAACGGAAAACAGGCTAGCTCTCATGAACATGTTCTTTGAGACACGCAAGGGCGGAATATGGCACACATACAACGGTGTGTCGGGAACCGATTGCAAGCGCCTTGGCTACATCCTGACAAGGCAGGCACATCACGGCCGAGTATCTAACGTGGTTGTCATCCCCCAGCCGGTTCGCCCAGTCAAAGCAGACTCAGACCACAATATGGTAGTAGCCACCGTCAACCTCGGTGGCAGGCTTGCCCACAACCGTGCTGTCCGGACTAAACCGAAACAGAAGCAATTCAACAGACGGGAACTGCAGTTCGAAGCAGCACGGTGTGCGGTGACTAATCGGTTCCTCCTCAACCTCAACACACGACTGGCCGAGCGAACAACCACCGCCGCGGAATTGGCGACCGACTATACCAACGGTCTCCTCGAAGCAGCGCGGACGACCCTAGGGGAGGAACCGCGGAGACGCCGCACGCAGGAGTGGTGTGAGACCCCAGAGACGAGAGCAGTGCTGGAGGAGGCCCTTACCAAACGGCGGGAAGCGCCGAGCGATGAGGAGCATTTGAAACTCAGCAACGTGGAGGGCTCTGAAAGCAGCGTGTAAGGGAGTGGCTACAGCAGTCGAAACAGGCATTTATGCCCACCTGGACGGATATGTGACTGAAGTCGAAGCAATCTACAAAGAACGTGACATGCGAGGACTGTACCAACACCTCAAGAGATCAGTGGGCCTCAGCAGGGGACAAGCCGGGGGACAGCAGTTCGTCGCGGATGAGAACGGCGTGTTGCTCCGGAACAGGGACGACATCCTCCAGCAGTGGGCGAGATTCTCCAGCACCCTGCTCAACACCAAATCCCCTACCCTGAACCCAGACATCATCGAACGAGTGACGCAGCGGCCAGCGACACATGACACTCAACGGTTGGGAGAGGTGCCAGAACTCGAGGAGGTGAAACGGGCAACGAAAGGCCTCAAGAACTGGAAGGCACCTGGCCATGGCTCCCTCCCTGCCGAGTTGCTCAAGATCGATGACGACGAACCCTTCGTCCTTGGGCACCTCTATACCATCCTCGTCAAGGTGTGGTACGGAGGAGATATTCCGCAAGAGTGGAAGGATGCACCCATCAAGGTACTGTACAAGAAGGGTGACCGGTCCAACTGAAACAACTACAGGGGGATTTCGCTACTATCTCACGTAGGCAAGGTCCTCATCAAGATCATCACCAACCGTCTAAGCGCCTTCTGCGAAGCCAACAACATCCCCCCGGAGGAACAGTGCGGATTTCGACCCGGGCGATCCACCGTCGACATGCTGTTCGTCGTGCGCCGCCTCCAGGAGCTGGGGGCGGAGAAAGAAAATACCGCTCTACATGTGCTTCATCGACTTGAAGAAGGCGTATGATTCGGTGGACCGAGAGATGCTATGGAAGGTGCTGGCCAGGGCCGGGATTCCGGCGAAGATGACCAAAGTCATCCGCCAATTCCACGATGGAATGCGGGCCCGGGTGCGCATGGACGACGGAGAACTATCGGACTGGTTCTTCGTGACTCGGGGGGTGCGACAAGGATATCTGCTATCCCTACTGCTGTTCAACATCTTCTTCGCCGAGGTCCTCGAGGTCGTTGTCATCCGATTCAGTGAGGATGATGTTGTTCTGCGGAGCCTGGTGTGCTTGGAGGAGGGGAAGACGGAATCGGGGGGGGCGGAGGAGACACCCCTTGACCGAGTACGGAGGGCAGTACGGGGGATGTTATATGCCGATGATGCCGGCGTCGTATCGAGGTCTGAGAAGGACTGGCGAGAATGATGACCATCATCGTTAAGGTGTTCGGAGAGTTCGGGCTGACGGTATCCGAGAAGAACACGGAGACACTCCTGATGCGCGCGAAGGACAAGCCGACTACAACACCACAGCCCCCCCCGCCTCCACCGCTGACCATCGAAGCCGCGGGACAGAAATACGCCCAGACGACCGAGTTCCGGTATCTCGATGGCCTCGTCAACGAACATGGCGACCTCACCTGGGAGACCAACTACAGGAGCAGAGGAGCGTGGGCGTGCCTCAGGCGATATGGCCGGGAGCTCTTCGACAGACCGAAAGCACCATTCCGACTCAAGATCCGCCTCCTCCAGGCGGAGGCGATGAAGGCACTGCTGTACGGCTGCATGACATGGTCACCACTCAGCGGCCACTACCAGACGCTGCGGTCGATACACCACCGACTGCTCCTTCGAGTTATCGGGTACAAGCGCAAGAAAGACACCTACCGGCAGCTTTCCTACGCCCAGACGCTAAAGAGGGTCGGATGCCAGAGCGTTGAAGCCACGATCCGACACGACGCCTACTGTTCGCGGGAGCATTGGCAAGGCAGCCAGACGGGCGACCCCCCAAACGACTGATGCTCGGCGAACTGGCGGGGGGGGAGAAGCGACGTAGGGGGGGACAGGAACAGAACTGGCCGAAGTGTGTGCTCGACGACCTGAAGGCATTCGGGGCCGACCACGGATCTACGAAAACCGATCCATGTTGTCTCGGAATCCCGGTACCGAAAGACACGGCACCGAAAGACACGGCACCGAAGTTAAAGTGGACGGAAGCCGCGAAGGTGGAGGGGGGAGTACCCTGGCATGCGGCGGTGCTGCAGGGAGCTGAGAGGTTCATAACCTCCTGGCACAAGAAGGAAAAAGAGGCCAGCCGACAACGAGCGCTCAAACGAGACCACAAGCCAACAACCAATGGGGCGGGAGGGGGGCAGGAGACGGACGAGACGGCGAGGGAAGAAAGTAAACGAGAAGAGACGGACCGAGTGGCGTGATCGTGCCGGATTGAATTTCTATTAGCCAACTCCCCCCCCGCAACGCTGTACCATTGCGCCAACCCCCCACGAGTGATGACGTACCAATACCATGTATCGCTGGTTGGTGGCCATGTTTACGTGTTTGCTTGTTCGTTAGTGGTCTCTCCACCGTGTGCCTGTTTCTGTCTCTTATTTCTTGTTGATTTCGGCCTGGTCTCTTTTTGTCCTCGCTCTTTTTCTTTTTCATTTTCTTTTTCTTTTCTTTTCTCCTTTCTTCCTGTTTTTTTTATGTTTTTCTCTTTTTCTCTCTTTCTCTTTTTTCTCTTTGTCGCTCTTTTTTCTCTCTTTTTCTGCGTCAGATGGCCTTGTCTCTGCTTGCGTGTGAAGCACCAATATTGAACCAAGGGGGTGTACCTCTTTCTCTCTGGCCCGTAATGCTGACTCCTAGTCTCAGTTGTTACCACGCATAGCGCGCAGAGGGAGCTGAGGACTCCAGAATATCTGTCGTTGATTTCTATTGACTTGCGGATCCCTCGGGGCCAGTTTGTTTAAGCGCACCTTTTGAGGGTAAGTTAGCCTGTGACCACGGGAATCGACCGCATCAAGTGTTGGATCAGTACGGACATATGAAGGTACTGGGTAGAGAGAGAGATCAGAACGGTTTTTTATGTGAAGACAACAACAACAACAACAACAACAACAACAACAACAATGACATTGAGAAGACGTGACGCCCCCCACTGTTGTTACAGTCATGGAGATCGGTCGTACTCGTTGCACAGCATTCGAAATGTTGCCCTCTCTCCGTTCTTGTGGGTCCTCCCCCCAGTTCCACACGTCAATGAGGATGGCATGGAACGCCAGAGACAGATGCTCCTGCTGCTGTAGGCTTGGCTCATCGGGGTGTGTCGATGTTGATATGAACAGCTCTGCAGAGGTGGGTGCCCTTCCGTTTTGATTCCTTGGGCTGCCAGCTGCCAATCTAGTCCTGTCCAATATATCGGTGCTGACTTGCGATATACCGAATCTCCCGTGGATGGTGCGCGGGCCGCTTCTTCACCTCCTGCGACGATGTAACGGCCGGCTGGAGGTGTCACGTGCGAAAAATCGTGCCGCACACAATACCGTTGCGCCGAAACGTAACTTGATTTTCCGAAGACCTTCCCACGGGGGGTGCGGCGTTTGAAATGATTTCGCGGAACCCCCCGTGTGGCGTTCAAATTTCGGAGCCCAGATCACGCAAGTTTCAAGGAACACCTCTCTATCTCTCGCTCCTTCGGGCTGCGCTAGCGGGTACACCACACGTCGCCACGCTCTCTAGGCGTTACACGCTTAGGTGAAGTGTTGTTTTCGCCCCTTCACGTTCGTCACGGTTCACAACCTTATTTGGCGCGGCGCAACTTCAAGCGTTCAGGAACATGGACTGTCGTGAGTACATGAGCAGTCTACAAGTGTCCTGGCGACATCTTTTCTACATTCGCTCTGCGGTTCATGAGGGACGCGTTGCAAAATGACAGCGAAACGCAGCCTTCTATACCTTGCTAACTCATCAGTCAAGTTCGAATTCAACTTCCAGCCAATAATTGTGCTGACGCGTGGCCCTTCTTCCGCAGGAGGTGTGCGGGCACAAAGGGTATCCTTATCCAGAGTTAGTCTGCAGCAGCAGCAGCAGCAACAGCAGCGGAGGCAGCAGCGTGTGCATTTCATCCCTACACGTATTATATTCCTCCCGGCCGTTGCATCGAGTCGATAAATCTAGGTTGGTACCTTTATTGCTTCCCGTTGAGGTATCCCCCAACTCTGCTAGATTACTGTAGACTACAGCAGTAAACAGTGCGCACACTTGCTGATTTTGTACCTTCTTTACCCTCGACTCGCAGAGACTTGCCAGAAGCACCTGGCAGAAGTCCTACGCGCAGAACGGCCGCGACGACTCCTGGAGGCTATCCAGCAGGTATGATGCGTGTGGAAATGTTCGAACCTTGACCCACAACGATGTTTTTTGTCCCGTGCTCTTGACACCACTCCATTTCGTCTAAGTTTCACCTCCGGTGATGTAGCCCTTTCCTTTTGAGTTTTTTGCGTTTCCTTGTTTTTTAGTATTCATCTCTTCCCTTTCTGTGCCATTTATCCGCACTCCGGTGTAGCAGTGGGTAGTCTTGGTGCAGTTAAGGCCACGAGCAAAGTTCAGAGCAACGAGCCCGTACGCGCACCGCCACTGCTAGGAACGTCAGTGAACATGTTTTTTGGTTTTCACGTCAATGCTCACCCCTCAGACGATGATTTGATATCTGAAACTTCTGAACCTCCCCTCGCAAACAGACCTCACGCCTTCTCCAAGGGTTTCGATAGTCGTGAAAATTCGTGTTCTCCTACATTAAAACTCTAACCGAAACCCTAAACAAGTAAGGGAAGGAGGTACTGGTTCGAGGCCGCACCAACTCTGGGTAGGCTGTCAGTCATAAGTTGGTTGCACCTTGACGTACGTGATGGTCATGTTTTGGCTGTAAGCCGGCATGTCGTGGTAACCACCCCATTCCGACTGTACAATACTGTAGAACTATGCGCGTGTTTTCACACATCCGTCAAGAGAAATCGTGTCATCGTCCGTCCCTAGAGTACTGCGGCAACGCGTAGTAGCCCCTCGTCGAGGCTTACCCTCTTATCCCTTCTTGCGGCAAAGGGGCTTTCCGGGAAGGCCAAAGGCGGTGGTGATGGCAAGGAGGAGGGGACAGAGCCCGTGCTAGAGCCTGGGGGACTTAGGCTGGTGTGTCAAACCTGTCCAAGACAAGGTAATTTGAATCGGGCAGTTGAGCAGGCGAAGAGGAATGAGTTCTTGGGTTTGATGGAACGCCTCATGGCGTCGGAAATATTGTTGGAACAACTCCTTGGGTTTGTGTGCCCCTCCTGGCCCTCGTTTGAACTACTATTCAAAAGTCATATAGAACACCCGAGTGCGTGAGGCTTCTCTGTAAGGAGTAGGAACGGTGTTCGTTTCTTGCAAGACGCATATTCGAGGTTAACGGCCAAACAACTGAGGAAAGCCGCAAATGAGTGTGTGCCCTCTTTCCTCTTCCGAAGATGCGAGGCAGGAACTTTCATTTTAGGGTCACCAATTGGGTGGTGCGGAGTAAAGACGCGTAGGATATTGTTTTTGCAAAGATTGATGCACAACCGCAACAACAGCGAGCGTCGTTCGTCCCCTGCTGCTACAACGTCCAGGGCACCTAGATCGCATAGCCCACACCTAATCCCTCAGGTCCACAGACGTTTATCTGAACATCGAGTGCGCGGACGAGAGAGCAGCGCTGCGTTCAACGATGACCTTCCCTCCAAGACACCCTTCGTTCCGTTTTTTTTTTCGGTTTCACTGCGCATCCAAACTCGAGTTCCGTCTGCTTCGGGGAAGAAAGGCCGTCGAATTCCAAAATAATCCAAGCACAACAGGACCCTCTCGGCCGCGAACTATGACATGAGCACGTCCCTTGTGCCCTTCTCAACAATATGTACTACTGTCTACGTGGGCCACGAAATCATGGTCCAGGCCCTGCGGCCGCCGCCCGTGCGTACTTGGAGGCACCTCCACCCGGCGTAGTGCTGTGCGCCAACCGGCTTGGCTCCCGACGAGAAGTGGAGGAGGCGGTCGTGCATGAGCTGGTTCACGCGTACGACTACCTTGTGGCCGGCGTTGAGCTGCTTGATTGTCAGGCGTTGGCCTACAGGTATTGTTGCTGTTGTTGTTGTTGTTAATGTTTGTAGTTCGGTTTTTTGGCATTGCAATACGCATCAATGCACATCAGAATGTTGTTCTTGGCTTTTTGGGTGGAACAAATAGCCAGGAGCGTAAGGTGTGCAGCGGTCGGCATCCAGACCAGAGAAAATATCGCGTCGTTCTTTTTCGTTTCTATGCAGTCGAGGTCCTACCGCACGGTGGCACAACACAACCAGGCTCGTCTCTTCCGTGTGGCTAGCCGGAAGCGTAGCCATAACCACCTAATGTCGGGATGACGAATTGAGTCAGACGAACACACCTTGTTGGGCGCACAGACCAAATCGTCATCCCTCAAAAGATTGAGAGCCCACAACCGACAACATCACGACTGCACCATGAAGGAGGCGGCCGCATTGTGATGGCTTTAGCGGTCATGCGAACATTGCACAAGCAGCTTCAAGAAGTTGTTTTCGATGCTGTGTGTGTGAATTGTGCGCCCCTCGTCGCTGTTTCATCATTTTTGTGACATTTTAGCGAGGTTCGGGCGGCCCGAGCCGCTGAATGCTCCAAGACTTCCCGGTCCCTCGTGTGCAGCTACTTCAGAAAGAATTGCGCTCGGTCTACGGCAGTAAGGAGCACTGAGGTATGAAACAAGTGCAGCTATCACCAACGCCTAATCCCATTTTTGTGTTCCATTTTTGTGTTGATAGGGCAGGATGGTAGCCTACCAGACCGCTGACGGTTTTCATCTCCTTGTGTGTTGTCGTCTTTATTGACGTCCATTCCCGGAACACAAACACCTGTGGATAAGGCCCGTTTCAGTTCAAGATGTTCTGACCGCTCCAGCCAGCTTATAGCTATTGCCTTTTCGATGTTGATGCTTAAGCTATATTTGATGGGGATCCCTGAGCTGCAACCCACGCCTCCTATCGGTAAACATCGATCCCATTACTGTTTTTTGCTTCAAGGATTGCACTACCCCCAGATCTATAGGCATCTCGTTAGGTGTGCAAGCTATCGCACACCCCTAGACCAACTTTGTACCTTCATTGCGCCGCAACCAAATTGTTGCCAATACCGAAAAGGTAGGGTTGGGGACTGGCGCGCAGCGCCAGTCTCAGGAATACTGGCTGCGTGCCGCAGCCAGTTTACTGGACATTATCAGTACACTGGCCACGCGGCGAAGCCGCGTGGTCGCGGCGCGACAACCGCCCCGCCCCGGCTAGTGAGGGGGGCCTGCCGGACACGCCCCCAGAGGGCCCCGCTGGACGCGCCCATGTTCACCATGAAGCTGCTTCCAAACAATCTTCAACTTGAAAGCCTTCACAAGATGTTTCTCATTTTTCATCAAGATGGTGTTCATTGTTCTTGAACAAATTTGTGTGTTTCGTTTTTGTTTTTGGTTGGGGCATTTCAGCGATATAGACAGCAAAACTGGAAGGCATTTAGTTTAGATCACGCTGCTGGTGGCCAGCCTGCATTTCGCTTGGAGCAAAAAACATATTGACTCTTACTATGTACATATGCTACCAAATTATGGCCCTTCTACAGGATGAGTGAAAAAGGCCCGGCTGTTTTTTTTCCGAGGCCGCGGCGGGTTCTGGACTCTGAGGCCCACCGCCCGGGTCTGCGGCAGGCACGTCGCTGCTAGTGACAAATTCGTCCGTCAATCGCATGGTTGCACCTTCCCTCGAGTGCGGGCGTGTGTGCGTTGTGCTTGCTCTCCTCTCCCACCCTCTCACGCGGCGCAATTTGGTGGGTTTCCACGTGGTTTAGGAGGCAAAGTGTGAGGCGTAGGTAACATGCGGAAGTATTGGCTGTACTGGCACCCCTCTGAGCCAGTCTTAGGAAACTGTCCAGTACAGGAGTATTATCAGTACCTACTGGTCCAGGGGTGGTGCACGTGTCAGTCGGTTTCACATCCTCTTGTTTCTCGACGAATGGAGCTTTGATATTTTACGGGCGATCACTCGCACTATTACGGCATACCAAGTGCAAGGCTTCGGTATTTGTATGTAAGCTGCACGTTCTCCGGATCTACATATCAACTGCTTGCGTGATGGTCCCAACCCAATCAACTCACGGGAAGACCCGACCACCATTCCCACCAATCAAGTCGATGGATCAATCTATGTACATCGTTCGGCCCGAATTCCTCGTATCGGCCGATCAGACCACAGAACGCATCATGCATTCCAGGACTCCGTCTTGACCCTTCGAACCAATGACATGTTTCGTTCATTTCCAGGGTCTCTTTCCCGGGAAAGGAGCCGGCTGTGTCGACGCCGTGTTCAACGCAGCATACCAAGATCAACGACCGCATGACGATGGTGGTCGATGACGATCACTTAAATCTTCGTGATGTCGTGTACACGATTCACTATCGCCACGAGTTGCCGACAGCGCCAGCAAATTGAGCGCGCGAGCTCAGCAATACCGGGCGCAGCACTAGGGTGGCGAACGTTCGCTACTGGGCACTGTCGTTGTTCTCGACAGTAGCGGCACCAACAGCAGCAGCCCAGAAAAGGAGAATGACATGGGTTATCGAAAGCACCACGAGTATGGCCGACGCACGGCTGCACGGCCAAGAACCCGTCAACCTCGCCGCAGCGATCAATCAGCGCCGCGTGATCAAAGGCTGACGGTGACCAAGAACCACATGATGATTCCGAGAGCGATATCAGCAAAGAGCTGCGTACCGTTTAGAGACCAACACGACGCGAAGACGGTGATTCAGAACCTGTGACACGAACGGGCACCTCACGGAAAAGGGAACACTCTGCTCGCGGTTGGTTCCGCGCGGAGTACGGGACCAACCCTGCCTCGTGCGGAGCAAGGGTACCTCACGAGAAGGCCGGACCTGTGTCGTTGCGATGGTCGATATCCTTTCAGACATGCTCTACTTGGCACGAATTTCTCACGCACGCCAGAGTGCTGGCAGCGAGTTGAGCACCAGCTCGTTTTGAAAGGGCCAAGATTGCTGTATGGCAGTCCGGCGGCAGACAAAGAAAGGGGTCCGTACTTCCTTCCCCAAATCTTTTGGCCTAGCCAGAAGAAGTTTGCCGTGTGGTAAACCTGCACACCAGTTGCCATGGTACCGTCAATTGGTTGGACACCAATGGAGTCAGCTAAAGATTCAACTGGTACACTCACGCTTGTTTCTTTCGAGCGCTTTCTTGCACAGCAAACGCGAAGTTCACGTGGAGCAACCCTTACCGTACACGCACTTCGAGGTCAGTTGGGTTCTGGAGAACGCGTATCTGAGAGACCGACTGTAGCCTGACAGGAGCGTCCATCGCATTCGGTCAAGTCGAAAGCAAGAGCACAGAGAGCATTGAGGAATGTACCAATTTAGGTGCATTCAAAGACTCTCCGAATTTTTTCTCGACTTGGTCCACCATCAGCAGCAGAGACCAAGAGACAGCAGTTTTTCCATCAAATACAGTCTCCAACAGCAGCCTTCTTCTCTCGCAGTCGAGTAGAAACCGCCCGATTTAACGCGGCACAATAAACCCAACCAGGCTCAATAGATTCAAAAGGCATCCACAGACACGTCTCCGCAACATCAGCATTGAACCTTGAGACATTGGCGTGCCCGCCAGGAAACCAAACGCCAGCCTCTACCGGGTTGGAACGAAGCTCCACAATGCTCGTTATGTATCCCCTCTCCAACCCCAGGGGGTGAAAAATCCAAACGGCATCAATGGAAATGTCTGTGAAAATACCCGAGTTCTCGCACAATGTGAATCACAGGGGACACGCGACGGGCCGATGGAATCTTCGCCATCCTCATCCTCCGCAGGACATCGTATACATCACGTTTCGGCGCTCCTCCAACCGCCTTGCTAGAGAACGGTAGTTGCGGACCTTTCCGCGAAGGCATTATTCCATATGACGACACCGCGGCATCGGATGGGGATGACGTTGTCACTATTCTTAAGCTGCTCCAGGTAGTGGCAGGTTATCCCTCCCTTTCTCTGGTATCTACGGCGGCAATAGCGCGGCATCCGATGGCATCCCCAACCTCCGGCCGACGTCGGCGGCATCCTGTAGCATCGTTTTGGACGTCTCCTCTAGCCAGGTAAGAGAATGGTGGTGCGCGTTGAGGATGCGGACGATCTTGCGCGCGTTGCTGTCGCCCCCGGTATCCCCCCTCCCACCGACTGCCCCGAAGGACGACGAGGAAGTGGAAGAGTTTACCTGGTCTACCAGAGACTTGAGAGTATCCACCATCCCCGCGAGTTGCATGTCCACAGTCTGCGTCCAGCGGGGAACGGGTATCGGCGCGAAGCCAACATAACAACATGGGATGCAAGGAAACGAATGTGGGAAACAAACGGGTGCCGATGCGAGGAAACGAAAATAAGTCAGGGGGGGGGGAAAGGTTTGCTGTGCGCGTGGTTGAAGGAAGATGGGGGGCAATGGGAGGTACATGTGCGACTGTCCTATAGCCGTAAACAGTACGCTCTCTCAAAGCACACGCCAGGTGGATGGAACTATTGGCTCCAAGTGTTGGAGAGCGTTTGCGCAACACAAAGTTCCACCACAGCACAGGATAAAAGTTTCGGATATTGGGAACAATACACGCAGGCCTAGATAATGGTCGTGGATGTCTATCGACCACCGCGGGCTGGTGGGGATGCCTTGCGCCGTATGTGGATATGGAAGCCGTGAGTGCAACGAAAACTCCATCGGTACCGACAGTTCAGCGTTTTTTATATCTACACTGTGACGGGCATAAGGCGTGGTATGCTGTACGTATTCTGCGGGATACAGTGCTTGGTCCGACTTGTGCTGTTAATGAAGGTCTGGCCCTCCTCGCTCCACATGACCCGTGTCCCTGTCCTTCTCCTCCACCGGTCGGCGTATATACGCCAAAGCTGGCGAGATTCTTGTACTCGCCAGTTCAACAATTATTGGGTTGTAGTTGGAGGTAGACACGAAACTTCAGGCACAGCGGGTTTCCAGCCCTAAGGCTACACCACGGCGCTAGGCCTCGCTAGGTCCAACCCACCCCTAAACCCTAACCCTAACCCTCACCCACACCCCAAGCTAGGTTGTTGTGCAGTGGGTAGGCCTAGGTCGCTGTGCCGAGCCACTGGAGGGTGCAAGAATCTCGCCAGCTCTGGCGTATACACGCGCGGCGCTCCTCCACGGACAAAAAGTTCTACGTCTTTCAGATAATGTGGTTGACCGCTCTCATATTGGAGACATCCATGGTCCAGAACACCCAGCAGAGAACAGGGCTCCTCTAGCGTTAACCACAGTGGGCACAATTGCAAGTATTGTCCATGCCGCAGAGCGAACACGCATGTATGTAACAACAGGGACCGCAATCACGGACGTACCTGCGCGATCTGGAAGGCCTGCTCTCGCTCCACGTCTCCCTCCTCTGGCGACTGCCCGCGCTGATCGTGCATCAATTTCTCCGCCTGATCCAGCGGGTACATCGCGACATGCACGGGTTGAAAAAAAAGCCCTGAACATTGTCGCGGTGCCGACTGCCTCATAATCTACTGTGGTCGCACCAACAAAGAGCTCTCGTGTCTGGCGCAAGATGGTTCGTCGGGAAAGGTCCACCATCTGCCCAGGCGTTGAAAATTAAAAAAAATAACAAGGAAAAGAACCGGATTTTGTCTCCAGCGGACGACACATTCAACCACCCACCTGCCCCTCAAGCTGATCCAGCGTTTTGTCTAGATGAGACTGCTCCCCCTCGATGGCCTTCATGCTGCGCGCCAGGTCCTGCAACAGCCACGTCGAACAGCAATCAAGAGCAACAAAATTACAAAAATATATATAACCATCAACAAAAAAATACACACACAAGACCAGAGAGTAGATGCCAGGGGGAGACACTCGGTCGTTTTCACACCGCCCGCATGCGTGCACCCATCGGGGCTTTCTTGTCTTTACCTGCTGTCCCAGCACGAGTTTCTGCACGTCATCGGCGAGGCTGAACAGCTCCGACTGCGTCTCTCGTAGGACCCCGTCCCAATCCGACACCTAGACATGCATCCAAGGCCAGCACCACGACAGCGCATAAAACAAGCAGTTGTGTCAGTTTGAGGAACACAATCGACCTACACAAGCGAAACGAAATACATCGCCTTTCCGTTTCAGGCACAGCAGCACACACCAAAAGCACCGCCAATCATAAGCACAACAACCCTGAGTACAAGGGTCACTAGAACGTTTCCCACCGCATAGAATAAGATGCCGCATTGGTCCATTGAAACCAAGTCATCGAATGGCAACATCATACTGAATGCACAACGTGCGAGAATAACAGCAGTATCTCTTCCGACCACCTCTACCCCGGCCACCATGGCGGGCTTTTCCCCTGAGCAAGTGCGTATGCGAGTGGCAATTACCCTTTGAGCCGAGACTCCGGACTTTTCTCGCTGCTTGTCGGCCACGCGTGGGCCTCCGGACCGACCGCGTTACCTTCTGGGTGCCATCAAGAACTTTTTGCGAGAAAAAACACTTGCTAGGAAGTGGAACACAAATCATCAAGGCAAGAGAGGAAAGGCCGTGGTGTTCTCGAACCATCGTGATTCACATCCCCCCCCCGCCGCCCAAGCGACGATGGGTTGAGCCTTTCAAAAATGCCCTGAGAAACAACCCACCCTTCTCCAAGTCGTGGTGTCGTTGTTCAACCCTGTCGGCATACGGACCGCATTCCATTCCCAGTTATCTTCACATATTTCAACTGTTCCGTGCTCTGCTTAGCACCTTTCAACATCCGTACAGGTCCAACTGAGGGTTAGGGTTAGGGTAAAGGGTGGGGTAGAAATACTGACTATTTCATAAGTTGACACGGACGCGGTGGGAGCTTTCCTTGTCGCCGGTGCATGCAAATACTAGCCAACACATACAGCACAGCAGGGGCAACCATTACTCGAAAACCGCTGTACTATGTCGGCATACCAGCTACAGACCCAAGACTACAAAACAAAAACTGCACCTTGGACTTAATTCGAGGCGACGAAAACATTGAAATTTGGCGAAAGGCGATGTGTTTGAACGTCGTCTCTGGTAGGAAAAACAAGTCACCTTTACAGCCTCGTTGGTGAACGTTGTGGCATCCTGGTCCAGCTCCACATTCCAGCTGTTGACAATTTCTTCCACCGTCATGTTCCTGTGCGCGTGCGTGATGTCATTGTCCCCGAAGCAAACACGAACAGAAACCAAGCGCGCGAACGTGCCCACCATGATAAAACACACCCTGTTGATTCTGCACTACCAAAACCTAAGAGGAGGCACCAGACATCACGGGTTGGGCTTGAAAATCGAAACGTCGACGTGACACACCGCACACAGTGAGGACAATACCGCGCTTCATTGTATCATTTGCCAACCCTCCATCAAAACCAAAATCGGGCCCGCAACAATGCAATACCGACAAAACAAACACCGCCATCAACAACGACGAATCTCACATGTACTGCTCGGGGGGCTGCTCCTGTTCCGTCGTCCCAGCCCCACCAGCGGCCGCAAGCGTCAACGTTCCTGCCGCCGCCGAACCATTTGCAGCATCAGTCCCGTCTTTGGCAGCCCCGGTAGCCCCCGTCCCGGCTGTGCTCCCTGCGGCTCCTCCAAACAAACCACCCCCGGCGGCGGGAGCAGTAGTTGTTGCCGTCGTGGATGCTGTCGCAGCAGCTGGGGCCGGTGCCGCGGCTCCGAACGAGAACCCCCCAGAGGCAGCGGCGGGGGCTGCGGCCGCTGTTGGGGCTTTAGTCCCGAAGCTGGTTGGAATTAAAACGGAGGCACGCGCGGTATACGGGATGAGAGGTGATGAGGCAATATACTTGCCTGTTGCAAGCTAACAGCACACAGGGCGACCGCGTCATGAACGCCGATTGTGCGCCAACATAGGAGGCCCCTTTCGAAGGAACGGAACGGTTCTAGGAATGGTGCCTCGTCGTCTCCGAAGGGTGCGTATGCAAATCCCAGACGAGGCGAAGAGCAAACAATTGCCCAAGCCCTCTTTCCCCACAACGAAGAGAACGAAGATGTCGCTCCAAACCCTCCCGAGATTATCGAGAGAATTCTGCTGTTTCGTGGACAACGGGGAAAGACGTCTCTACAGCTATGGACGATAGTAGCGGCCATCCCTGCAACAGGCCTTTCTTTACGAGTGGCGGGCAAAATCACGCACCATTGTACCATGAGAACGACAACAACGTGAGTGCGAAATAAACGGACGGCACGACGACCTGTACCCCATGGTCCAATCAAGAGGTCTGCGGTTGAGTGCTAGGCGTGCTGTAGGCCCACGCCCCTTCCAAGTCCAAGCACCCATCTAAACGAGGCCTCGAACGAACGAGGCCTTCCGATCATACCTACCAATCCCAGCCTTGATACTTTTTGCGCCCATTCACACCGGCATCGACACCACCACGGCAGTTTTTATCGTGCAAGTTGAGCGAGAACGGGGCGAGCTGGAGGAACACCTGTCGAAGATCTTTTTCACAGTAAAGCGCGTCATTGTCGCAAACGCAACCCTTCATTCTTACCTGAACCCTCCTGCAGCGGCGGGCGCAGGCGCAGCAGGAGCAGCAGCAGGAGTTGCGGCCACCGTGGTGCCGGTTGTTGTGGCCGGCGCAGGGGCAGCGGTGGTTGCCGCTGCGGCGGCGGGGGCAGGGGTCGCCCCCGCCACCGCCCCGCTGAACGAAAACTTACTTGCGGGCGCCGGAGCACTTGCGGCGGATGCGGTGGTTGTTGTTGCGGGGGCAGGGGCCGACGTCGCCCCAAACGAGAACCCGCCAGCAGGCGCGGGGGCAGTGGTGGCTAGCCGCTAGGTGCCGGCGCGGCAGCAGCAGGCTTCGTTCCGAAAGAAAACCCGCCACCAGCGGGGGCGGTGGCGGCGGGGGCGGCAGCGGCAGGGGCAGGTGCCGCCCCGAACGAAAACCCACCGCCGGTGGTGGCGGGGGCAGGGGCGGCGGCAGGGGTGCTCGAAAAGGAGAAGTTCGGGGCCGCCGCTGCTGCTGGTGCCGCGGGGGCCGGGGCGGCCGAAGCTCCGAAGCTGAACCCTCCCGTGGCCGGCTTGGCTGCTGCTCCGCCCGCGGAGATGTTGAACGCCATCGCTCCTAGTCCGACGACTGTATCAGCACGCGCCTTGTTCTGTTTACGATACTCTCTTTTCGGCCGCGGTGCTCCGTGGGGCTGCTCACGCTCGATCGATGTCCCTGTCGGCTGTACCCCCTCTTGGCGCACGTGCTGGCGGCGTTCTGCGTTTTGGTAGAGCAGGGTGAATCGGAGAGAACGCAAGGAGAAATGGTCGTGAGTTACTGCTGTGACCGCCAATGAAAGGATCGAGAGGTGGAGATTGTTGTGTTTTCATACGCCAACCTCTGCTGGGGGGGGGGGGGGGGGGGATATATGCCCGGAGGCAGATGACAGGCTCTACCTTGGCTTACCTGATTCATGGACCGTCTTACAGAAGCCAATAAATATTGTACCTGGTTGTTAATACGGAAGTCATACGTTACGAGTGCTGGAATAAACAGAAAAACAACTTCAGACCGAGAGGAAACGGCAACAGCGTTTTCATTATATCTTTCACGGGTATCGAACGCGCGGTGGAGTAACGCGGTTGACTAGGTATGTACTTCACAGCAGGATTATAAGCAACATCTTAGATGGTGACAGAACCCACAAGCTACACCAATCAGAAAACAAAGGCACACCCGTGTCGCGCATTGTTAGATTCGCTGACAGTACATACAAAACATGCCAAGATCGTATCCCAGGCATGTGGTGTTCGGCAAGCGTGTCACCTCACAGCACCAGGTTGTAGCAGGGGTGTGCGAGCGGGAGAGCCCCAAATGGCTGTGGAGCGGTACAACAGCAGTAGTGCTGGGTGTTTAGAGGAGATTCAAAGTGTCTCATAAGAAAACCGACGAAAACCATTACTTATGCATGAATGGAGACACTAGCAAGAGCAGCTGACCTATGCTTGACAACAACATCAGGCAGGTGGTGGTGCCATTGGGGATGTTGTCTCCGAAACGCAGCAGCGGTGTGTCTCCCAACGGACCTTTTGACTTTTTGATCTGTGCCAGAAGAGCACCAAACAACACTCTCCAGGACAACGATACGCCAAAGCAATCACCACGCCACCACCCCACCTCAACTTCCAGTCCAGCCTTGGTGGCCTCACGGTCTCGCAGGTTGTTGGTGCGCGCCAGAAGACCTATTGACCTGTTTGATGTGTTGTTGTTGTTGGGGGACGAATGTGTGTGCCCCCCCCCCTGAGGACATGCACAATATAAAACCCTCGTCTACGAAGAACCCAAATGCACGCGGAGGCGAAGGCGCACCTGCCCTGCTGGGAAGCACAGCAGACACAGAGTTCCGTCCTCTACCGCAGGCAGCGTTGTACCCACCGCTGGAAGAGAAGTGCAAGGGAAGCCTCAGCCTTGACTGGCAGTGGTGAGTCCTTTCCGGTGGTGTGCCATCCACCGATCGAGCACGTGGCAAAGAGCGCCAGCATCGGCAGAGGGCGATGTTTATTCTTCAAAAACAGTCGTTGACCATGGCGGTGGCGACGTTGTGGTGCTCGTTGCCGTCGCCGTCCCTAGCCTTCCCGCCAGGAGCAGCCTTAAGTGCTGCTTCGGCATCAGGGACGACTGTCCCTTTCTCCGGTATGATGACACGGAAAGGTTGTTTCCGTCGTAGGCTACCACAACAGCAGCAGCAGCAGCACGGTCGCAGCGGCTACTCTTCGCTCACGTTGAAGCCGCGCGCGAACGAACGCGTTCGTCCGATGTCGATGGCGTTGCCCACCAGGTACCAGGTACTCATTCATCTAAGAGCGCATATCGGAGTTTTGCTAGAGAGAGAGTCTACCGGAGAGCTTCGCGCGCTCTGTTTTGTCATACGGTTTCTTGTGAGAAGACACAAACGCGAATACATGTATGAGAATGGCATGTCGTGTGTTCGGAGATGTTACCAACACACCAACGGCCGGTACACCAGGTTTCTCCAACAATCAAGCAGCAGTAGTAATGTACCTAAGCGCCTGGCACTTGACACCAGAGCAGATTGCAGCATTTACGTGCAGTGGTATTCTCCAACCGCATTGCATGAGCACCACGTGCACACGTGAGGGATTGTTGCTCAAGTCAGCCACTGCTGCTGTAGTCGTCATTCAACAATACACTGCTGTACCCCGCCCGCGATATGGACGAGCTCATTCCGTACCCATGAAGCTTGGCTGCGCGGGCAGCACAACAGCCGCTGCAACAAGCACACATGGAATGCACAGCAGCGATTTTACAGCAGCCACAATGTGTCGTCGGAGTCCTCGCATAGCTTCAGTTTGCTGTTGCCTGTGATCCTCTTACAGCACAACGGTACGCAAGCGTGTATCTACATGTACGTATGAGTTCAACCTTCTTTTTGTGACGATTGGAATGCCGCGCGAAAAATGCTCTGCAAAGCACGTCACTACTTGTACGGATCGTGTGTGTTTTTATTATTAGTATCGACCGCGCTAACCGGTTGACCAATGAAAAGACGTCAGTCTTAGTGCTGTTGGAAACACAAAACACTTCTATCTGCCATGAACTGGGACCCCGTGAGGGGGCAGGATGGGGGAGGCTAAACTATCCTTCAGATCAAAGACAGCAACAGAAGAAAACTGGATGCGTCTACCAAGGCTATTACCTTGTACTCTAGTTCGTTTAGGAGTACTTTCACCATTATCCTCCTTGTTTTCGCTACCATCATGCTGATCCTCATTTTGACAAGAATCTCTGGGCAGTTCTTCCCTAGCCCTACATTTTTTGTTTTGGGGAAGGTCATCTGGCTCAAACGCTTTGCTCTCTTCCACTCCTCCATGTTTTCTTCCTCCATCGTCGACTTCGTCCTCCTTTCTTGCCTTTCCCTTTCCTTCGTCTCCGTCACTCCTAAAAGAATTACCCTCATTGCTATCGTTGTCGCACCGTGTGTGCGTGGAGGACCCCGCACCGTGCAGCTCTATGAGACGTAGCTGCAGTCGTGATACTCAGAATAAATAGAATCTGACGGGCCCATGAAAGTCTAGCAACCCATGAGGGTCGACATTTCTTTCTTCTTTTTGGTGACAACTCGTTGCACGGCTGTACACGGGTACACGGGAATTCTCTCGGAGCCCTCGAGAACTACGGTCATAAGATTCTTCGTACCGCGCTGCGCTTGGTCTTTGCCGTGTATGCCGGAAACGTTGAAAGGTGCCTCCCTCTGTCGAATCAACCGAAGTAGCTCGAACTCGACACGGGTCCCGCTGATGTCAGTACAGCAGTTTCTTTCTTTATCGAAGAGGGCGATGGGTGTGCTTACAATGCACGGCGTAATATTGATTTTTTGTTGCTTTGGCGAATTGGCGCGCGCAACTTGTGCATCGGCGAAAGGGCCTGCCGGCCGCCCGGCGCACGTGGCATACACAGGCCACCTTTCGTCTCTCTCTCTCGACGGTACGTTTTGGAGTCTTCGTAATCAAATCTCACCCTTATGTATGCTTTTCACGCGTGTAGTGACAAGAGCCGGGCGCCCCTTGATATCGGCCTGACCTTGTTTCAGAATACAGCATCTACCTTGCTTCTGCTTTGAGGCGACAGACACCACTCCTCGCCGTTGGCGTTTTTTCCTCGTTTCGTGTCCCGTTGCGGTCAGGGTTAGGGTTAGGGTTAGGTTAGCCTTCGGCCCTGATCCGTCTTTTTCGGTTTTGTCTCTCCTGCTAGCACTCTTTTCGGTTGTTTTTTCTGTACCTCCCCCCCTCCTGGACACTTGCTTGTACCTTTGTTTCCACTGTTTTGTGGGTGTATTCGACGTCGCCTGGTACTCGCTTGGAATTGGTTGATTCCCGCGCACCGGCGGTGCTGTTCTAGTAATCGCAGCGGTAACAGCGGCGGCGTGAACGATGTCCTTGTCGCTAATCGTCAGCTTTTCTTTGGGTTGTGGCTATGCTTATGATGATGGATTGTGTGCACGTCACCGAAGTGCTGTTTTCCGAGGTGGACCCCTGGTTTACTGCTCGCCCCGTGTGCCCGGGAGTTTATCGCTCCATCAGACCTTGCCGCTTTCACAAATAAATACAGAATCAAGAATCAAGAGTGGCGCAATTGACAGAAGGTCTTTTCGGCGGTGGATTTTTCTCAGGATGTTTTTGTTTCGTGACCTAGCCTGCAGATGAATACATGTCGTCAATTGTCTCGAAAACACAACGTTTCGCAGTTCACTAGACACTTTTTCCTTACGGTCTACGCCCGTCCACGACAAGTTTTTCACTTCCATGTATGCCGCCATACCATTCGAGTATATTCCCGTAACAATCCGTGCGTCGAACTTGCCCTGGTTTCTCTCCCGCTCGCACGCTCTTGTGCTTTCGTGGGTGGGGTTTCGCAGCAGGCGAGCGAGCATTGCCATCTTCACGGCCGGGATGTTGTTCGGGTGCTGTATCAGCTCCCCGGTGTCGGCCAACATACGCTTATACAGGTGAATCTTCGTATTTGGCTCTGTTGTGGTGTGACTGCGTGTCATGTGGTTGTTTTTTTTGCTGGGCCCTCGTCCGTCGTGCATACTCGAACTCCGGAGACAGGACCCCCATCGTTCAGTCGTCGCCACGCCCCTCCCTGTAGAGAAACCCCGCGGACTAGAAAAAGTGGTTAACACAGTTTTTTGTCCCTCCGTTTGACTGGTGACGATTTTGCGTGGTACGGTCTATGGCATTTATTGTAAACACGCGCTTGCACCCGGCATGCCTGCCTGCCTGCAGGACGGTACCCGACATCCCGAAGTCTATGTTCAAGAACCATGCCTCGTTGAACGGCAACGTGGTTACCGTGTCGGACGGGGACAGTATCCGGGTGAGCGAGGACAACAGTGTTTGATCGGATGCCTGAGAGGCGTGCGTGTTCGCGCGTGTTGCCACCATTAGCACGCGTGGTGCTTTGCTGGACCAGTCAAGTCTGCGGGTGTGTGCGCTGTGTGTTCAAGTTTGACACTGCTTCTTGACCCAAACGAGAGAAGTTGCCTTCTTACTGTTCCTGGCCTCTTTTTTTGGTGAAGTCGAGCCACTACGAGATACATTGAGAGGTGCAAATCATTCCGGTGTGATGGCGCGTTGCCCAAAGCATCAAAGATGACGTTCAACAGGCCTTGTGAAACGTCGTGTATGAACCCATCTACAACCCAAATTACTTTGACGCATCTTCATGGAGACACAAATCTTTGGGTTAAATCTCGATCTTGGGGGGGGGGCAAGATTTGTCAGTGTCACGATTTATGGGGACCAAATCTTCCGAACAAACTTGGCAAGAATTGTCCGGGGCCCAAAAGTTGCCCTTTCGAACAAATCTTGACCCAAGATTTGTCCACTCAAGCTGGTGGGGCAAATCTTGGAGCGGGCTGACAAAGTATTGGGTGCGGCGAGATTACCACAGGTCATTCAACCTTATCGTCCGTAACGCTACGGAATCTACGAATTTGCATGTGGCACATGCGCAAGGGCCCCTAACATATCCTGGCTTTACTGTGTCGACGCCACGGGCGCCGACAGGAGAGAAAAAAGATGAAGGCGCGCCGAAAACAAAACATTTTGGCCCTGGCTTGTGCCGCGTGCGTCATGCACGGAGAGCATACATCTCCAACTTGCGAGCGGACAACAACCGTTCACATTTTTCATTCCGTAGTAAACGTATCGAGGCAAAGCCTTCGATGCTGCCATCTCCACTAACCGTTGTATCTCGGACGTATGGTGGTTGTGGGGTGCTTCTATCCAGAGATAAAGCATCGCTGGTGACACGAACTCTTGATTCGTCTGTGGAGGGACCGTTCAAAGGGTACTCTGTTTTCACGTAGAAAAGAGAGCCGGCGTTTTTTTTTTTTACAACAGCTCGGTCGTGTGCGACGCTCCATCGCTTGATCGAATCACCCCACACCCAAGCCGTTTTCACCCGAAACAGATCCGTGAGTCCAGATGACGGCACCGAAGGTTTGACCTCGGTGCGCCTAGTACGTACAGTTAGATATGCACGGTTGTCATCGCCTCTCGGGTTGATGAAAATTTTGGCCGTTGGACCAAGTTGGATAGAATCGACCTATTTTGTTTATCCGCCTGCGTGAGACCGCGGGCAACGTCGCCTGTTGTTGTACCCCAGGTGGGCGCCCACCTCTAGTATCCACCAGTAGAGTTGAGGCTATAGAGCTGTGGGAGGGACGGCGCCTTCCAGGGCTGGGTCGTGCTCTGTTTTCACCACACCGTGGTAGTGTTCTTGCTCAAGTGGCAGTTGCGCCTGTTATCAACTTCAATGAGGCAAGACGAACAGTACACCGCCTTTTTCAGCATTCCACAACATTCCACTTCCCCCCCCCCCATAGTTTTCGATACTACATATCTTGGTGGACATTTGTTGCAAGAGATTTTCCCCCAAACTTTTGTCCCCATAGGACCCCGATTTATGGGAACGAAATCTTGTCGATAAATCTTTTGATCTTGGCCAAGATCTGCCAGTTTCACGATTTATGGGAGCGAAATCTTCCGATATATCTTGGCCAAGATTTCTCAAGACCCGAAATCTACCCTTTCGAACAAATCTTGACCCAAGATCTGTCGAAACGAGCCTTCCGACAAATCTTGAGGCGGCGTAACCAATCTTGCCTGGGTGCGGCGCGATCACCGAAGGTCAGTCAACCTAATCGTCCATAACGCCATGAAATCTGCACGTGGCACACTCGCAAGGGTCTCTAGCGCACCCTGGCGTCGCTGTGTCGGCGCCACGGGCGCCGACAGCGAACGAGAACGACCAAGGCCGCGAAAAAAATGCGTATTTGCCCTGGCTCGTTCCACGTGCGTCATCACTAGTCGAGGGACCGTTCAAAGAGTACTTTATTTTGAAGTAGAAAAATAGAGGAGGAGGAACGTTTTGCCAACTCAGCTCTGTTGTGTGCGACGCTTCTATCTCTTAATCGAATCACCCCACACCCAATCCGCTTGCACCCGAGCCAGATACGTGAGTGCAGATGACAGCGCGGGAGGTTTGACCTCGGTACGCCTGCTACATAGTGAGATTCATGCACGGGTGTGATCGGCTTCGGGTTGATGCACTTTTTTGTCAGTTGGACAGCAATGGAACAATTTTGTTTCTCTGCTTGACAGGAGCTCGTGGGCAACGGCTTCTATTTTGCACCCCAGGCAGGCGCCCATCGCTAGTATCCACCATAGTGTTTAGGCAATGCAGCTGGGGGAGGGACGCCCCTTCTACAACTGCGTCATGCTCACTTTTCGCCACACGTTGGCATTTTATGTGGACCAAGTGGCCGTTGTGCCTTTATCAACTTCAAGCAGAAGAGAGGAACAACTCGCCGCTTTTTCACCATTCAACATATTTCCCCCATAAATCGCGATACTGCAAGTCTTGGCGGAGATATATTGCCAGCAAATCTTGGGGTCAAAATGCCAAGATATATTTGCAAGATTCTGTTTCCATAAAGAAGGGTCTAAATAGGTGGATCTTGTTCTCACGATGTCCCCGCCAAACATTTTGGGGACTCTCATCTCGTCTTTTTCTCTCTTGGTCGTTTGTGTTGATATATTGATACTCTGGGTCCTTTTAACCTCACTTACTTGCCCTTGGTTTCCTTGTTCATGTCGAACAAGCATTATAATAGCGGCAATTTATGAACATAAGAACATGTTAATGAGGACAAGCCCCGGTGTGCCCCTTTTCTTGTCTTCCTGTTTCGCCCCGGCCCCACGTGTGTATTGACAAATTTATGATATGATCTTTATTCATCTCGTTCATTTTGCCCGTTGGTGAACCGTTACAATGACATGACACAAACCAGGTGAGGCATAAGCCCAACATACCCCTCCCTCTGCCCAATCGAGACATGACTGGCAAGAAGAACTCCGAGCAGACCTTGCAGATCAGGCTCTACGCCGTAGACTGCCCCGAGGTGGCACACTTCGGTAACCCGGCTCAGCCGTTCAGCGCGGAAGCAAAGGCGGTGAGTTTCGATTGGTTGTTCGTGTCGGCGGGCTGCTCACGGCGTGTGTATGGTTGGTGAGGCGTTGGGTCTCGATTTGTTAGCTGTGTTGGCGGCGTGTATTGTTCCGGTTGGCGGCGTGTTTCGCTTCGGTTGGTGACGAAGAACTACGTCATGCATTGAAAGAACGTTACGAGATTGAAACGTGAATTAGGGAGTGGCTTCGATTCTGACGATGAGACCGAAGAGGGGGCCTTCGCAGTAGAGGACTCTCGTTTGAGTCACAAGGCGACGCTCGGATTGCAGAAGTTCCCGGTACAGTACACATCCAAATGTATCCTTACTTTACCCAGCCCCGTCCCACCGATCTTTTTCCCGCCTATGACGCCAGTTTACCAAGGAAGCGTTGCAAGGGAAGCCGGTCAAGATTAAGCTGTTGAGCATGGACCAGGTGAGCACAGGGGTCGATCGATCGTGGGCGTGAGGATGGAAACGCGTTGTGCGAGTTCGTGTTGAACGTTGGATGCCACGTCGATGGAGGCATTCTTCGAAGCGCGATTTTTGTCTCCAGCTGTCGGTATCAGGGCCAGCCGTAAACCTCATCACCGTAGCCCATGGCAGCGATGGACCACAAGGCCTTGGAACAACCATCATTGCAGTTGGCAGGGTTGCGCACCGGCCGTCCCCGATGAAGTGTCCGGCGCTCGACGACGCTAGTGTTTTTTTTTTATGTTTTTTTTTATGTATGCTCGGTTTTGCTGATGCCCCATTGAGGCTCCCTAGTGACGTTGCTATTAATAGCGTCATCTCTTGCTCTTGTAGCGCTACCTTGCGCTGCAAATCGTCAACCCTCCCTACCTCCCTCCGGGAAAATTGTTTTCCTCGTGCTCTTGCCACGATTCGTACAACTCCACCGCAGTACAACAGGGCGGTTTGTAGGGTGCAGTATGGGAAGTGGCCTTTCCGGAAGGATATCTCTGCGGAATTGCTCAAGAACGGCCTCGGGGTCGTGTACAGACAGGTGCGGCGACATCTAGGCTCGAGATAGATATACGGAGCGCGTAGAGGTGGAGACCAATCGTTGAACACCCAACAGAATGAGTTATAATATTGTTGTTGTTTTTTTATATTGTAGGGCATCGGTAGAGACCTCTTTCTAAGGCAGTATGTCTCAGACGGGGAGGATACATTGATGTGTATCGTAGACCGGCCTCCCCAAAAAGTTTTTTCTGGGACACCCTGACACGCTTTCCTCTCGCACGCCCTGGGGCGGGGTGCACTTTACTGCAGTAGCGGAGGAACGGCGCACATCGTGGCAACTCGCTAAGGTAGCACTTGTTAGGACCACCGCCTCCAGGAACAAGACTACTCCGAAAGTGAAAGTCTTGTGAGTGGGTGCAAGCGATTTTCGGATGTCAAGTGAGGCCGATTCATTCACTCGAAATGGGTGGTGCCGCTACGATGACCTTGCAGGATTTTGAGTGTTTTGCCCCCTGGGGGTTGGTTATTCAAAGGGCCACGACGTTCATGATGACCCTTCGCAAGTTGAACTTCGTGCTCATATTCAACAACAACGTTGTCTACCTCCAACCATCACCACATCTCATGTGTCCTTGGATTGCTGCCAGGGAGGGGCTGAGTACGACAGTCGAGAAGAAAGTCTGACGGAGTATGAAAAGTCGGCCAAGAGTCGGAAGGAGGGTGTGTGGTCGCGATCCAACGGGGAAACACCCGCGCAGTACAAGGCGAGGATTAAGCAACAGCGGCCGGCGGCGGCCTGAAGACGGAGGAAAATAAACTCGTAATCGTGTGCGTGCCGCTGTGTGTTGGAAGAAGTGAATTGAGCAAAATTTACCGCCGTTGACGCGGCGCGTGTAATTTTCCTGATGAATCCTCCCCCGGCCCCTCTGTGCTTCGGGCGTGATCAACGGTGAGCATTGGTTGACGCAATGCGTTTGGTTTTCATGCAGCCCGCGCGTTCGGTGAGGTTGGTGTTGTTAGACTATTGTAGACCCGACGTGAGCGTGCCAATGGCCTCTAGTTTTGAGTTCACCGCATGTCTGCACCATCCGGACTACTTCTCGCGGCGCCTGTGCTGATCCACGAGTATTTCGGTCGAGACAACGGGTGGGGATTCATTTTTTGGAGTCTGCATCTGGAGGCAACAGTATATGAAATGCCCTCCGTTGTGCACAGGCAAGCGTCCTGAGGCGTGCTGTCGTCTTCTCTCGTGCTTGTTTTTCGTTGAACATTCTTTGTGGGATTGAAGCTTTCGTGTGCCTAGAGATGGGTTATTTGCCCACGCGGACTGGGTTGTTTTTTAGCGAATTAACCGGGCGGTTTTACTTGTATTCTGCCGTACGACGAGACGACGAGAAGGCGCAGGTGCTCTCCAGGAACACGGCGAACCGACCGGCGTAGTTTGGTACTATCCTCGAAGTCGCCTCGACCAACAGCATGTCAAAGCGCAGCTCCAAGGGATGATGGAGCAACTGAGTGAGAGTATTCGCCACTTACAGGGGCAAGTACTTGAAAACGCAAACACCAGGGAAGATTTCGTTTTTGGGGATTCAATATGAAAGAAAGCCGGACTGACTGCCTTTCTCTTCATCTTTGCTTGGAGATGGTTGAGTAGGCGGAAGGGAGCGGCAAATCTTGCCTACCCACGATCTGATTGCAACGCTGCGGTTCAACAAGTTGATGAGCATCAAAGTAAGCATCGTGCATCCACGCCGTGGTGACCGTTGGATCATGCCACAATCGACCACCATAAGTATATATTGCTTGTACCAGCCATGCATATCTTTTGAGACGTTGAGTACGCACCGCAACGGAAACGGTCGGGAGCCGAAGAGAATCTAAAAAGATATCTGGTACGTTGCTACTTTTGTTTGTTCGAAAGCACCTGATAATGGTTGTCGGAGTGCTGCCGAGTTTCAGCCGGACCACAATCTGACGTTATATACCTGGCCATCTGGTCTCTGGGAGGAGATTGCTGTGCTTCTTGTCTGCACAACAAAATGATTCCGATCTCTCTCCCCATTACCTTCATCATTACTGATCGAACACTTGAGATGGCGAGGAAACAATTAATCGTGACAATTCCATGTTCTGTTCTATGAATACAACGAACCGAACAGAGAACAGCACGCCGATACAAGGGGGTGCATGTCCAGAAACATGCCACCGAACGCGATACGAAAACGCGCATGCTCTTACTGGACGGCTTGGTTGGTCGTGTTTGCCCTGCATGCTGTAGAACTTATCCCATTACTCTCCCGTTCGTTGACGACCCTCCAAACCTATATTTTCACACTCTACTGCGTATGCATGCAAAATCCAGTCAAGACGCAACAGAAGAATCTGACCTGCCGGGTCCGCCACCATCAGTTCTGAGAAAACTCCCATGGACCTTATTATTAAGGGTTGACTGTCCGACGTCATCACACACCCGGCAGGTGTCCTGTCGCGTTGTTCAACCAAAGTCATACGCATTTGCAAAGAAGATGAAATGCTGTGACATCCTCTAACTGGTGGCATTCATCCTCGTTGGTGCCTTATCCGCTGGGCCACCCTCCTACAGCGCTATAGCTTCCCTCCCTCCGCTACTCTACCCGTGCAAGCAAGCAATTGTTTATCCTGCGTGCTTTCGAGACGCGACTTACCAGAGGGTTGGGGTACCCGTGATCACGCACAGGTGCATTCATCTTGAAATAAAAGTTGTTGGCCCTGCTCCATTCTGCATGTTTGCTCGAGAAGAGAAGGAAGTTTGATTTCGTTCTGACGTCGCGGAGTGTACAGCAACAGCGGGGCGCTTACCTAGTAAGTGTGCAGCAAAGAAGTTGAAAAACTTCGGCCCTCTGTGTATCCGCACTGACTGCTGTACTGTTGTCTATGGGCGTACCTTCTGGCGGAACACACCACGTAGAATACAGCAGACCTGTCAGACTTCTGTACCGTAGATGCCGTATCTGCTCTTGTTCATCTTCGCATCTACTCTTGTTCATCTTGTCCGGAATTTGCACAAGAACTGACTTCTACTGCTGTAGACTGACTGTGGTTTGGATGCCACACCAACCAGTACGACCACAGAAGTCCGCAAAATGCGCACATAGACTAAATACGTCGTTCAACAGCTACAACCTGCTGTTGTAAAACATCAGCCACATGGCACATGGCAGCGCGGGAGCGTACTAAGTTCACGCTCGGCCATTGGGGTCGGTGAAGCAGGGTTAATTGCCGACGGAACGGCTCTCTCCGGGGGTCGCTTCATGTACATTGTAAATGATGAATTGAATCAAATTATTTTTCATCATCGTGCAGTAGTCTATCGTTTTCCAATGTCGTATCGTAGTCCAAACGCGGCCGTGAGGAGCACGGTGGGGTGCCGATAACTCTCGTTTTGTTCACCTGCCTCCTGCGCTGCGGTGGACAAAAATCTTGCATCGAGGTGGCGAGAAGCACTGTAAATGAACAGGTTTCTTTCATTGCCTTTGATGCCGGCTGGGCAATTCACGAAAACTCTCTTGACTTCTCATATATAACAGTCCAATAGTAGGGTTGACTACTATACATACACGGTATTTCTTGTACCCGTGCTAGTAATTACTGTACGTGTTTGTGGGGACGAGGACTTCGTCCTGCCTGTGACGGCAGCCGTCAACATACATTTATAGCTAGCTGCTCACGAGAGTCCTCTAGCATCTCTCGGGTAATTTTGCGGGGTACGTTTGAGAGGGACAGATGGCCCGGGCGATGTTATTGTGCCGGGTTTCGCCAGCTTGCCAGAAACACCCTTCGAGAGAAAATTGTTCGACGATAAACAACAGTTACATACCTTTCGATGATGTGACTACGGTAGACTAACATGGCAAACACAGTCAACATACACGGGTGGCCAAAGTGAGGTTGTAAGTGGTGCCCCAACTTCCCCGGTATCAGGTTGGGACGTTGGGGAACGACCTTGGACAACATGCTGTCTACGCTGCCCGTCAGCCCTATTGATGGGACCAACGTCGCAATCCGTGACGCGGGGCAAGCTGCATATGTCGGCGAACCACCTGACCCTAGAGAGGTTATGGGAAGGTTGTGCACCAGATACAACCTGTTTTGGCCTCCCGTGTATGAAAATGTACCAGGGCACCACGCCCTCCCTATTAGCTGCACATACAAGTAGATTTCCTTTCGACTGCAGCAAGACGACAACAGTGGAAACCTCAACCGCCTTCACCATAATGCAAAGCCAGGTGCTCTAGATTATCCCCATCCATCCGTCTTTTCATCGCTCTGCCGCAAACGCAACAGATTGATATACTCCGCGCAGGGTCAAGATCGCCGGTAAATACAACCTTATTATCGGTCATCAGGTTAGGAACTGAGTGTGAGGCGGGGGGGGTCCGCAAACGGCCATCATCACTGCGTCGTAGATCGTCAGCGAAGGTCGGGGTGGGGTAGCCTGTGGGAGAATGGGTAAGGTGGGCTCGGCTTTGAACGGATGCGCCATATCCATCGGCAGGGCCTTCACGAAGAGTGCCGCGGAATGGCCTATCAACGGAATCGATGGCACTCGAGCTATCGGCCTGTCCTTCATCGGCCTAGCGTACTTCCTGCACCCGCTGGTCGTTTGGGCGTACCACCGGGTGCGCGCCTACAGGGCGTGGCGCGCTATCGAGAAAGGTCGGGCGGTGGAGGTAACGGCGTACTCCAATCGGGAGGAGATCTTGCGGGGGCGCGGAGTTTGGGACGCGACGAGAATCGTCACCGTGCTGCTCGTGGTCTTCAACGTGGCTTCGTGGGGGCTGGAGCTCATGCTGGACCAGTATTCCCACGAAAACGAGGCCTGCCCGCTCACGCAGCCATCGCCCGTGTATCGAAAAGACCTTGATAACAATGCCCGGTGGCAGGTAATTTGGCGGTCGGTGTGACAGTGCGGTCTATCTGTTGGCTTCATGTCAACCGTCCTCAAAGCGACTGCATCATCTCATGTGCAATGTCAATAATACATTTCAAACCAGGAGAACTTTACGTCGGCAACAATAGTAACATATCGTTTGCGGTCAGCGGGTTTATCTGTCCTGACCAATACTACTGCGTCCAAGATTTTGGTCATATGTAGGAGAGTGTTCGTCGAGGTCGCGTGAGGCTATCGCTGTTGAAGTTCGCGGAGAAATTTCGATGAGGTGCGCTTTCTGGCGTTGGGTGGCGAAATCCTCCCCAACAGCAGCTTGTTTCCATCCTCAGGTATCGAGCACGCGGCCCCTGACCTCTCTCTGCAGAGAGCCAAACCACCCCGCTCAATAAGGAGGGTGGGCGGAACGACGAGCGCTTGTGAAAGGGATTATCAGTTATCGCCTCCATGGCCTCTCCTGTCCTCTTCGAAGGAATGACACGAATGCCTGATTCTCATAAGCCCACACATTGCCTTATGTAGAAAAAAGTTATTTTCTTCTGCTCTCGGGTGTCTCTTCTTGGTGCAGGTTCTGAACCTGGACGAAATAAACGGGGAAGACCGGGATTACAACGGGTCGTGGCTTGACCTACCCAACGTCTCCAAGACGGAAGCCAAGTCACTTTACTACGTGGAGAACTTCAAGAGGTCCGCCTGGAGCGACCCGGTCGAGAAAGACATCTCGGGTGAAATCATCGTCGCCAACTGGGACCCCGCGATCGCGGAGAGTTTAAGCTTTTCCTTCGGGGAAAGTATCTCGTCCGGATCCTACGAGGAGGGAACCGCCACTGCAGTGGTGGAAGCGGTCAATTGCTCCTCCTCAAGTGACCCTCTAAAGGACGCCCCCGTCTACCGCAAGATGAACAACAAAAGTGAGGAGTGGGGCCGTGTTGTCGAGTGCGAGGCTGGACCGAGGCTAGCGAATGGGGGCGAGCAAGCCCAGCCCGCGATTATTCTCACCCAGAACGGGACAAACGAAACGCACGTGATCATAGAGGAGACCACCACGTTCCTCAGTTTCCTCTACTCCGTGTGGAAAACGAACGGAGATTCGGTCACCTTGACGTACGCCTTCCACATCGCTTCCACTGTGCGGCTTGCCGAGGCGGTGGTGACCGGGATTGTGCTCGGCGAGAGCAGCGGCGGCGGCTGCTTCGGCATGCTGCGGGCGTTCAGCCGGGGTCCTGAGCCACCGGAGGACGAGTATGCCAAGATGATGGTAAAGGCTTTACCGTTCGGCGAGAACCCGCAAAGCGGCAAGGTGGAGAAGTTGACGGATGTGGAGACAATCGAGGCCGGCATAGACATCAACGTAGCTGCGATGACGTGCCTCGTGTGCGTGCTATCCTTGACCGTAGTGGGTATCGTCTGGGCGGTCTACCTCGGCAGGAGCACCGGCATGGACATCTATGACAGGTGGGGTATGGCTTGGTTAGTCGGCGGCCGCAGTTTAACATTGCCGAGTTGTCTCGGTGTGTTAAGGTCTACAGTAACATCGGCTGTTTTATTGCCTCTTGTTTGCCTTGTCGACTGGCCTTCCAACGTACCAGCGAGCAAATCCGACTGCATGCCTTAAAACTTGTCCTCTTCTGGCGTTCTAACCCACCAGCAAGCAAGTCTGGCTGTATGCGCTTATTGACGTTCTTCTTGCTCATGCAACAACAGAACGTAAAAAATATTGTGAAACCTGTCCCTCCGCATCTTCTGTTCATGACGGCAGGGACGAGCTAATCCGTGCCGTGTCTCTCCAAGGGCATGGCAGAGCGGTGGACCTCGCCGCCCAGCATTCTAGAATGCGAATTTTCGTGCGGAGGGAGGACAACGGTGGCATCAGCGTCGCAATCAGCGACACCGGCCAGGCAGAGCCAGGCGGGTGCTGGAGGTTCTGGCCATGCAAGAAGGTACCGTGCCAGGCGGACTCTACGTAAATACAAAGTAGGGTTAAGTGTAACTTGTTTTTCGGTCGAAGGCGATCTAGTCGAGCTCCGAACACTGCATGGTGACCCGTTCGCCGTACAGCTAGCTTGCTATTTGTCTAGCTACTTTTCGTCGAGAGTTCAGCAATCCCAAGAGTATCGAACGACTGATGCGCTCGAAGAAGTACCACCCTCTTTTGCTTTGCGTACCAGCGGGTCTCACTCGCTGATTGACATAGCAAGATGTTTTTCGAAATGAATCACCTCTGACGCGACATTCATTCATGGCTGTCCTTCGCGCGTTTGAAAGGTTGGCGAGACCGCCGATCCCTCCCCCGTAGCAGATACCGTCATCCAGAACAACGATGACTTCGGGGGTGCGTCCGCGCCGGCGGGCTCGCGCACGGTGTGGCTCGGTGGCGTAAGAATCGGGAGGGCCCGCCCCTTTCCCGGCAGGGACGGCACCTTTACCTACCCCGCTGCCGTCTCGCTGTCGGCTTCCCCTACGCCTACCTCGTTCGCCGGCGGGGACCTGCGGTCCCCGCCTCTGCAGGGGGGCCCGCAAGAGCCGAGGAGGCCAAACTCATTCCTGCCGGAAGGGAGGGGTCCGTCTGCGTTCTTCGAAAGCACGTCCTCGTTTGCCAGCGGTGATGACGCCGGCGACGCCGGCGATGAGGTTGGCAGCGGCGACCGGGTCACCGGAGACCGCCTCTTCGAGGCGTTCGGAAAAGCGGCGCCCGCACCCTTCGATGGTGGCTTGTACAGGTCTCCCTTGGGCAGGCCTAGCGTGCCTGCTGCGGGTGCGGCGCTGAGGTCTACGGCTTCCTCGCAATCCAGGCCTTGAGCCTAAGCGGTGCCTGGTGAATCTCCACCCGCATAGGGCGGCGTCTGACGAACGAAAAGAAGCAAGCCTCCTCCCTGACTTGAGCGTGAAACCACGTGCGGCTCGAGCGTACGGCGAAGGTTTTCGCGGGGCCGGCGCCCAGGGATGTGGTGTGGGTTTGGCTGTGTTCGTCAAAAATCACCAACATTCCCCACACTAACAACAGGTGAACTTTTGTCTGGTTGAAGGGGTTGTGGTTGTCGACCGATATCGTTCACGAGGAACGTTGTTCGATCGAACAGCACCCCCAACAAGAAATTTGGCCGCACGAGAAGAGCGAGTTTGTGGGGGTAATTCTGGACGTTACAGTGCCAGTTGTTTTTGGTTGTCCTCGATGTTCGCCTTTTGGTTTTTGGTGTTGCCGTGCTGCTTTAGTTATTCTGTAGTACACACTGGCACTGGTTGTTGGACAATAGGAAGGGCCCTTCCTAGATCGCCAGGATTACTTGCCCCCATGTAGAGCACAAGTGGCATTGTCTTTTCAGGGTTTATTCGCCATACATTATTTTTCGCTTACGTATAGCACGAGCGACATTATGCTTTCAGGGCTTATACGCCTTTCATTATTATTCGGTGTAGCTTCAGGTCGGGCAGCATTGTCGTTTCTTTGTTTCCAGACCGCCAGGATTACCTTCCCCCCTGTAGAGCACAAGCGGCATTATCCTTTCAGGGTTTATTCGCCTTGCAGGTTTTTTTTTCCGTTTTACGAAGAGAGCGAGCGACATTGTGCTTTCAGGGTATATTCGCCTTGCATTTTGTTCGGGTTAACTGTGGTTTCAAGGTTTCTAGATCGCCAGGATTACTTGCCCCCGTGTAGACCACAAGCGGCATTATCCTTTGAGGGTTTATTCGTCTTAGGTTTTTTATTCCATTTACGTAAAGGACGAGCGACCTTACGCTTCCAGCGTTTATGCGCCTTGCATTTTGTTCTGTTTGTCCGAGCGCTGCACGAGAGCAACAGGTACAGGTACAGGAGAGGGAAAGGGGGGCGTACTGACGAGATGAGTGTGGCGGCGTTGCTGCAGGCAGTACAGTTGGAATGGTGTTGAAAGTTCTTTAGGGTACTACTGAAGGGGCACACACGGAAGAAGGAAGGCAGATGGCCCGAGAACAAACGCCCGGGCAACCTGGCTGAATTCTTCAACGCCTCTCTGTACTTACAAGCCCCCGCCCATCAGGCAGGTATGCTTGCGGTGTAGAGGTGAATATCTAGTTTAGAAAGAATCAGCGGTAGCAAGTGTTTTGGGAGTGGTTTTACGGTGCCCAGCACGCTTGTGGTGCAGTTTGAACAAGTAGGTTAGAATACTGATGATAAATATAGGATGCTTGAGGGTAATCCGGAGTTAGAAACGTACCGAGATGGTAGGAGTTTTTTTCTTGGAAAAGGTTTGCGCGCACCTGTTGATATTTGAGTATATAGTTTAGGCATAGAAAAGGTTACAAGCACGCACACACCGGTTCCCAAGGTTCCTTCATCTCTGATTTGTCTGGATGATTTGGGGATATATATGTGGAGCAGACTAATTAACATACGATTGGATTTTTGGGTAATTATTGTGCGTTTGTTTCGGGTGGCGATCCCACTGGAAGAAAAAGAACGGGGTAAAGTAAACTCATTTGAATTATGTAAGGAGAGTAACAGACGTCCTCATACCTATTTGCTGCAGTATTGTGGACTTGCTTTGGTCCATCCAGGAAAAAACATCCAATTATTTCGGGTTCACGCCGAAATATGCTTTCGATTGATATCGAATTGAATCCTGGCACAACCTCTGCCGTGACCACTACTACACCAAAAGTAACACCAAACAAGAAGTTTTGTGTAGTCCTACTCCACTCTTGCCAAGAGCAGTCTAGAACTAGGCGATCTCTATGTCTTGGGTTCAATCCTCGCGTTGAACAAGAACGAACATGATGTTCCTAAAGATCCAAAGTATTTTTTCCGTCCGGACATAAGAACTGCGGAGTTTTAAGAGGAGTCGTTTGACGCCCTCCTCGTCTACGCACTCGTGTAGTAGAGAACATGATGTACACGGCTGAAAAAAATGCGCGAAAAACGAATTTAGAAGCCCGCCATCGACCGGTGTTGACCCTTTCTGTCGAGCTGCATACATTCACAGTTTTGTGTGTGCAGTCGGAAAGAACCCCAGGATTTCCGGCAAGAAACGTCTGCCGTACTCCCTCTCTCTCTCTCTCTCTCTGCAAATGGGTTCAGTTATTCGAAGCTGGAAGTCGAAGGATATTTAGCGTTTGTTTACGTTTTTCAAAAACTACTAACGGCCCGGGGCTCTTTCGCCCCGACGGCCTTTTCGCCCCGGTGTGATACTTTCTGTTCTCTTTCTCCGCCCCGATACCTTCCTTTGATAACGTGTCATGTAAGCTCCACACAAGCTTACTTTCGCTCCCCGCGACGTCCGCAAAAGGTACGGCTGGAGCCGCATAGTAAGACGTCGGCCATTGAGAGAGCCTACTATTCAGGACAATTTCCTCGCATTTTTGAGGACCCACACGTTTCTCGGGGTCGATGGACTGGGAGTTGTTCGCGTTTGCTGAAATATCACCTCCGGGCGAAAACCTAGAGGTCGTTGGCCTCTCTTTTCTTTGTTGTCGGGCGTCCCGTGAACACTCACAGAAACAGAATTTTGCCGTGGGTCTCTCTCGGGGACACCCACGATGTTAGACCTCGATAGCTTCTACGAGAAAGACTCGTCGCGAACGACGACCTTCTTTTCGGCAACTCCGTTTTTTTCAGATACTGCTATATGCCCAATCGTTGTCCTCCCTATTCGTCTGGCGATGTGTTGTCGTTGCGAAATCGGTTTTCGTGGTGGGCCTGGCCAGGGCAGAAGCAAAAGTTCGCTGAATTATTTAATGCTTTGTGAGTCCAGCGAGCGGTACCATACGTACAGTACGTTGGCGTCGGGCCCCGGCACACGTGCGACAGCACCACCGGTGTATTGGGCATAAGACTTTGTTGTTTCAATGCTAGCCGCCGAACTACGCTACGTTGAGAACTGTGGCGATACAACAAAAATGGACAACCTGCCACTGCGCTTTCGGGAGCATTTGCCTGCAACGGCATCATGGTGACGTTAGTGAGCAACCAGAGGAGTCTAGTATGAAACCAGCTGGGTTTTGCAGAGGAGCCAATACCTGTTGAGCGTCCCCGTGGAATGGCGAATGAGGCAGCGCTGTCAACTCAAACGGTTCGTTGACGTGCTCTTCGCCCAACAACCTATCTATGTTTCCTCTCCGACACCTTGCACACCGAATAACCACTCAATAATCACGTTTCTGTGTCAACGTCTCGTTCTTAGAGTAGAAGAACGTCGATAGCAAGCGCAGCTGGACTTACTGGTGTGCCCAATGCTGATGGTACGAATTATATTGGTCGCAGCTTCAGACGAACAAGAATCAGGAATCGATGAACATTCCTGAGCATATACCCGGACAAAAAAACGAAAAACGCCCGAAAATACTACAGCATCAAGTGAAAAGTCTCCGCAAACGTCGATTGACAACCTCGGAAGAAAATGTTGCTCAACGGCATCAACAGTCGACGGCCTTCATAGGACATATCTTCCAATCCATCAATATTCCGCAGCGAGAGAATAGTAACCACTCTAGGGGGCTAGAACAAACCACTCAGGGCCCCGTGTGTCTCCCGCTGCATGACATGACGCAAACGGCGTACACTAAACACTCAGTACAAATTTCAATTAACCCTTTCTTATACCTTCTTGCTGGACTGATGCACGAAATAAATTGTCGAAATAAAGGCTGTACCTGAACTTGTACAACTGACGCTAACCTCTATTATCAACCCACCGGCAGCGCTCCAACCGAACGCGTGTTCAGGCAACGACACCTGCTAGAAGCACGACGGAACTCCATCATTACCGTTACCTACTTTCCTCTCTATGTGCATATACTTTTGCCGTCTACCGGCTGTGCCCCGATTGGTCGCGGTGCCATCGAAAAAGGCAAGGCCTCCCGTTCATCGCTAGAACCTCGAAGACTTGTAGCCTAGATCTCCATTTCGACTTATGTAGAAGAAGACACGTTTCAATCCAAAGGTTGAGAGGAATTCGTTACGAACAATCATCGAAAGGACAATCGACGCACAACAGTACCGGAATGCGGCGAAATTCCACAGTCGAGATGGTACACAAGGTAGGACAGACCGAAATATCATCCATGCAGTCTGGGGCATCTTGAAGCCCTCTCGGTAGCTCTCCAGGGCTGAAAGTTCCGTCGAAGTTCTTGTGCCCGAGGAAGGCATGTGTTCACAACAGAGTTCCGGGTTCCAGCACCGCCTATCTCTATCCATAGACGAATGCTTTCATCGGCCCATGAGATGGGTCAAGCTCAAGGTACGCCCCCACAGAATGCGGGACGCGTGTGCCCCCCATCATCTATTGTCTGCTATATACTCTCAAACATGCACTGTGCATTAGTGCCGACCCCTCCGTTCCTCTGCGGCATAGCCCTGATCACATGAGCTCCTCACTACTCCTGTTCTTCATCAGACAGATACACGCGTTATACCATGTCGGTCGTACACTTATTTAGCCCATGCACCCGAAATAAACCAACACACGTAAAGTTGACGACCCTTGCGAAGATATTCTTCAGCACAAAATCTCTTCTCGTTGTCTGTGCCGCTCCGGAAAAAGCATGACCGAAGGTCAACCCAACCAAGCACCCATACCTAGACACAGCTCCTGTTGCCCCCAATCAAGGTTTTCCGCTCGCTGCCCGAACGGCGATGCTGTTCTGGCTCTGCCCCCGGCCACACCGAAATGACACACCGGTGGCAAGGGAGGATTGCCATGCTTTGTCTGTTCCCTCGAACCCCGTCTTGGTCGTTTCATCAGCAGAGGTGAGAGCGACTATCCATCTTCGCTAAACCTCGCTAGGGTAACTGGGACGGGTACCTGGGTTCACCGGAAGCGAAGTCGTGTCCGAAGGGACACGAAATGGGTCTTCACCCGTTGCTCCGATGGCTCCGCCATACCCGCCCCCGGTTTGGTCGCCGTCACCCGCGTCGGCGATCTATTTCGGGCTGAGGAACCATTTCGATGGAGGGCCGCGCCCGGGCGGTCCGTGGACGGGCCGCCCTCGAGAGGCACCGGACGCTGAACCTCCGGGGCCTAACCCTACATGCCCATCTCGACGCCGGCATCCCCCTCCTCCTCATTATAATCGGCGTAGCCGGTTATCCCTTCGACGTCCGAGCTCAAGCTGCGAAACAGGAGCGACGCGTCGGGGAATCGTGAGGCGCCCCGTCCGGGTTCGGAAAAAAACGTCGGTGTCGGGGCCGCTGGCGCAGACGACCCTTAGGCGGTCGGGTGTGTCGGTGATACCACCCTGGACCCGGGGTTGGACGCCACCGGCGAGGCGGTTAGGACCATCGCTGGGGTCAGAGGTTGGATATGCATCGCGGAGTGCCTTGACGGATCGTCGGGTAAGCCCTGCGCCTGCAGGTTGATCGCGCGGAGCAGCTCGTCCCTGCGCGGTGTATGGGCGGTAAAACGGCCGATGTCAGCTCTATGATCTCTTGTGTCTGGTACAAGCAAGATAAGGAGTGGTGGTATGAACGGTGGCATGCTGCTTTTTCCTTGAACGCACCTTGCACGAAACATCTCATGTCCAGGATATGTGCACGAGGACCGATGCAAGACACCCTGACATGCGCATGTGGTTCGGCAGGCCACGGCTACAAAATCGCAACCATCCTGCTACCGACAATGTTTCACCTCGCCAGGGACAATACCTGTTGTAGATATCCATCTCGTATTTTGGGCACAAGAAGAGGGTCAGCGCAATGCCGATGAAGCTCAGGCCCATCACCAAAGCGAAGGCCACCATCCCACTGGTGTTCATCTCGACCCCGACAATGATGTGCTCCTTGTCCCTCAAGGAAGGGATTCTGTGGGACACGGGGTCCTCGCCGAACGGCGTTGCCATTTCTTCGCCATAGGTATCAGAAAAATCCACTGTATCATAAGGGCCCTTATTGTACGCTCGGAGGAGGCCGAAACAAGCGCCGCCGCCGCCGCCGCCGCCGCCAACCACGCGGCCGCCAGCCACGCCGTTTACGATGCCGGTGACCACTGCCTCGGCAAGCCGTACAGTGGACGCGATGTGGAAGGCATAGGCGATCTCGATGGAGGAGTTGCCGGCAGCGATAATGGAATCGCCGGTCGCGTACCAGACGGAGTAGAGGAAGCTAGGTTCGCTGCTGGTCTCCTCTACGATTACGTGTGTGTCTCCCGTGTCGCCCTCGGTGAGATGATCGACGGCTTGCTCTTGCCAATGACGTCAATACGCGCAGGCCCTTGGTCACACTCCAGAACGGTGCCCCATTCTTCGATGTCGTCGGTTGCGTTCTTGAGGGTAACTGGAACGAAATCGTTGGTGAGGTTTGCCCCCTTGCCTCCCGAAGAGCATGTGATGCCTTCTACCATCACAGTGTCGCTCTTCCCGTAGACCAGATCCGGCTTGTCATCCGGCGACCAATTGCTATGCTGCTTGCCATTCGGCGGCCAACTGGCGACAGTGATGTCGCCGTCGATGTACCTGTCCTGTGGCTCGCTCCACACGTAGTTCTTGTATTCTTCCACGTAGTACCTCGACTTGCCTTTCGTCGCAAAGACATTGGGTAGGTTCCACCAGTCCTCTTCGTACTCTGGGAGTTCGGTTAGGCTCAAAACCTGTAACACAAGCAAAATGGCACAAGTCCACAAGAGAAAACGGTAGGGTGCGATTGCGAGAACTTGGGGAACGAGGCGACCTGCTGATGGGTGCTTCTCAACCTTCACCTTGTGGGCGTCACACGCTTCACCGATGCCTTGCCCTATCGAGTACGATCATGGCCACACTGGTGGCGAGAGGTCAGGTTTGGGTAGGTTGGGCACCGATGACGACCTGGGGGGTGGAGGTTGCACTTTGAAAAGGGGCCAAGTATTACCGCATCTCGGAGGGAATGGCGCTATTTCAACTGACACCGTGGGCTTAGGGCATAGACAAACAATGTGTCCAGGGTCAATCCCGGTGGCCCACCCTCCCCACTGAACCCTTGGCATGTTGCGATCGATTCGCAACCAGCACCTCTGACCATCAACACACGGTTGGTTACGTTGCGGTGCTGTTGGTGTGTTGATTGTTCATAGCAGTCCCGTCTGCAGTCCACTGGGAACCGAATGTCCTCGTCGCCCCCAAAAACTTTTTGGCTTTGAAGCCAAATATACCTGTCACCCTCGCACGATAGAGACGGTATTGCGTAAGATTCCTGAACAGCGGATCAAGGACACCACATCTCCAACGTATTATCTTCCTCTGAGCGGACCACTTGATGGATGTATTGGATTTGGTGAGGCCTCCTGCGGCGGTCGGTGGTCCCGTCCAACATTATATTTCGATTATTCTTGTGACCATCGGCCAAGGACTGCATTGAACTGAGACTCACCCAAATCTTATCACGTAAGACTATATGTATTTTTCGGCATGCACGCCGATCAAGCCGCAACGTGAAAATACCAAGGACACGACATCACATATATCCTGAAAACACTCACGTGCCAGGAGGTCTGGGTAGAATTGCTTGCAGACCACTTGAAAATCGGAGGCGGCAGGGTTTGACTGTATGCTGGGTTCGACACGGGAAACACATCGATCGACAGCTCCAGAATCCACGACGCCAGCGAGAATAGCAGGAGCAGCAGAGACACGACGCGAGCGGTGTCCCTCCTACCACAATCCCCAAACAGTTCCATCCACGTGGGATAGTTGGTAACTTCGACCGTCTCTCCCTCCTCGATGCGTCGCCACGCGGTAGGCGCGCACCCTGAGGTATGCGTACTCTGTGGCCGGGTGCACGCCGTAGGCAAGGAAGATGTAGGCGAGGCCAATGATAAGAGTGGTGTTCATTTCCCCCGTCGGGAGGTCCCATTTCCAAGAGCCCAGAAAGTTGGATGCGGAGCCCATGCTGCTACCGTGTCAGGGAGAGCAACAATGACAATCAGCCAGATTTTCGCTCGCTCTCCTCGGGGAATTCACCGCAAATCGTCCACCAATGCGGTAGAAACTTCCCAGGTCCTTCACCCTCCGCAATTCTTAGTTTCTGGCCGAACGTGCACGGTACGAAAAACGTGCTTGGAAGAACGAGCCCAGCTCCTCGGTATGTAGGGAGTTTCGCGGGGAGGAGAATGGTGGACGCTTTCGTGGACCCGTCACTCTGCCTGCATTGTGAAGGAAGCAAATGGAAGAAAGTCGCGGAAGGACACGAGTGGTGAAGCGTTTGAAATTCGATCAGGTGACTAACCGCACATGGGCGAGTGAAGGCACCTTGTTTAGTTTAGATCATTGCTAAATGCTCTTCTGCCTGAGCAAGGGGGGAGTGCAGAAACCTTTGGGGTGCAAAGAATCCTCCCCTATGAACAACGTCCGTGCGAACCAGTCAACACGCGACAACAGGCTGAAAGGTGGGTAGGAGGGAAACCGCGTGAGGAAGTGAATGAGGATGGTAGAACTATGGCATTGCTCACTGTAGTGAATGAACGGCGGACGGTGGATACTGTCGAGCTGCACTATGGTGTCAACAGCAACCATCTGGCGGTGACGTTCGGTCCTCGGCGGTAGTTTCGCAATACTGGTTGCCCGTACAGGTACCAAGTCTTGCACAAAACCTCATCATTCACACAGCTTGGAACCGGGAAAGCGCGGCCTTTGACAATCGACCCGCGACGCTTGCCCGCTAGGTCGCCCGTGGTTTCCTTTCGCGACGCGAAAGCGCCGGAGAGAGCTATATTGAAGGATGGAGCCCTGGTTAATTGGTATATATAGCGTGGGAGATTGAAGTTGAAAACAGGTCCCTCAGCACGCTGTGCCGGCAAGCCCACGTATCGGCGTGCTTCCTCTCAGTACAGTTTTCTCCCCAGAGCACAATGCCGGTGTAATCCAAAATTCTCGAGAACACCCCCGGGCAGACAAAAAGGTGGGTTTTCTCTCCCCTGACTCTGGGGCTCCCCTGCGATGTTTTCTTCCGCTACTTCCGTCACCGGACAAGGCATTCATGGAGAACGCTTTATCCCGGCCAATCGTGTTGCTACAGATACTTACAGCTGCTGGTGCACTTCATGCTCCTAGATATGCCGTTAACTCTCAACGCCTGCGTTGTTTCTCGGGTCTGTATTTTTCTTTTCCACAGGTAGCTTGTGATAACGGTACGGGTCCGCGCCAGGTGAATCGTGTGTACGTTAGGATTGTACCGGGCAGAAGAGACCGGAACGAATGGAAAACGATGAATGAACGCAAGAGTCACACTGATTGCCCATGAGACATCCGTGGGACGCGCGTGGGGCGCGTAACCCTAACCCGAAGGTTGAGAAAGCACTGGCGGCCCCAAGCGTCCTACTGTCCATGAGCCGCTCGCGCTGAACGTCTCACGAGCCGTCCCTCGCTCGCGTGCCATGGGTGTGTCCCATGGCACAAAGAAGGAGATACAAACGAAACGTACATTCTCTCTCTCTATTGCTTGGTTTTTTCCGGTTGTGCCCTGCATGCTCCACGCGAAGGTCGAGGAGGAGACCTTATGGCTTTTCCGAAACGAACGTTGGTAGGACGAGATACTGTAGATAGCAAAGTCCGACATACGCTCTGCTTTGCTGAAAACCAAAACGGAACCAAAAACAAGGCCACTCAATTATTTTTCGCACCCCTGAGCAATCGCTCCACGACGTGTCTGCGTGGGTGCGTTCAGTCACATAATACGGAAGGGGGACATCCCAAGGTAAAACAGGCGCCCATGGATGGCGAGTCAGAGGAGATCATCAAGGCGTATAATCTACGGAACAACCTCGTTTTCCTTGTTAGCATGCACCGTCGTGCCATCCTCTGATCCGTGCGACGCGGCTACACCCGTCAATGCGATAGCTTCGAGGGCAGGAGGAGCCGTTGACCGGGCGGAGTGACGGGGGGTACATCGAGGAGAGGTAGAGGGAGACGACTCGTGATGTATCGGTTGTCAGGAATAAAACTCACGTTCCTTGGACATAGCCAGCCGCGATCTCTCCCATCCCCAAGCGAAATGCGAATTAAATTTAGACAATCATTGGCTATTCTACCTCACCCTCTTGTATGTATAGGCATGTCGCATATGCATACATAAACGAAGGTATGGTTTAGTCCATGTCGGAGATGTGCTTGAAAGCTTGAATGTTTTGTGATACACGCACTCTACATGGAATCGTACGAACGCTGAACGAAAAATTGTTTTTACGATACACTACGACTCAATATAAGAAGGTAGACCTTTCTCGAATATTTCAAATTGGCCGTTGCAGTCAGGTGCAGCAGCCGCGGCGGCCGTGGAAACGCCGATAGGTGACTGACTCAAAATAGCAAGGAGTGCACCTACTCGATTTACAAACCGGCCGGTGCAGTCAGGTGCAGCAGCACAGCGGCGGTGGATACAACCATAGGTATTGAGACCGCCAGAAGCTGGCTCTTGTCTCCACAGACAGTAGTCTACCAGGCAATGTCAGAGAGAAATAGCAATCCTGGTACGGTGGCTGTTGGCATCGAGCCGCATGAAGCAGAAGAGAACAAAAACGGCGGCACGTACAGCTGCCATCCGAGGGCGCGCGCAGCAATCGAATGTTGCATACGAATATTGCTCTCTACAGCGCTCTCTACAGCGCTCTCTACAACAGCAGTAGCATGCCTCCCGTGGTACACAACTCTCTACTACACAGTACAATATTTTTTTCTCTCATGTCTTTTCGTTTCCTGCAACAACATACTTGAACAACAACCGCTCACGCGCATGCATCCATACGGCGCAGGTCAACGATTGCAAGCCTGACTTGTGTTCGGCACCGTCAGTCCAGCATCTTGCCCCCCCCCCCCGCGCGACCATCCTGCCTCCTCACCTGCTGCCGTCTTGGATGGGTGCGGTTGTGGCCCGTTTTTTCTCTGTTGCCGAAAGTTCGCCGCAGGTAGCGCCGCCCGCCCGAGTACGGCAGACACCACAATAAAAATACTCCGGAGTACCGTACAATTTTGGCCGGCAAGCTTGGGGAACGTTCTTCATAATGGTTGATTGTTGTTCTGTGTGGGTCTTCAGATCTGTTCCGGGTTCCGTGGTGGTGTGGTGGTGTCGCTGTCTCATTTCGGTTGGAGCATGCATGTGGTATTAGACAGGCATACAAAACCAACTTTGAAGAACACTGCTGTTGGCGGGTCGTATGCAGTCCCGTTTTAAGTATTTTGCCCTGCCCAGAGGCAACTACATACGCATAGGTCCAATGATTCGCCATGTATAGTTCATGTACACTCAGTGGAATGATCCCCCACGGTGGGGAGATGCGGGTATCGTGTAGGTGGAGGTTGTTTGAAACCAAAATGCATGATGGGGTTGTACTCGAAAAACACCGCAGGGAGGTGTGATTCTCCAACCCTGTTTACGCAGACGTTCTACTGCAGGCAACGGCCGCAGATACGGGGTGAGGTAAATTAGGAGCGGTGTTGGACAGACTGTAAATGCTCGGCAGAATCTCTGGATAAGATGGGAATAGAACAGAAGCGAAGATTGAAGAGTGAGAGGTGTGCGAGGGCACGCCCTCGCATCCCTCTCGGATACAAGTCACGGTCAACTATCCGGGGAAGCCTCGTGGCTCGGGGCGTTGACGACATCGGCATCGCTCCGAGAGACAATCTTCCGGGGAGAACGTGGGGAACGTTCCCGAAGGTTATATGGTAGGATTTACATGATCGTGAAACAAGTGTATGTAGGCATGTTCCACAGACCTGAGCGAAACGAAGTTTCGCGTGAAGCTTGTCACAGGATCGAAATCCAGGACCTACTCTGTAGGTAAAAAAAAAGTCTACTACAAATACTGCTGTGTGGTTAGGTCTGTCTCGCAGATACTAAAGTAAACAAATGTTTGAAGTGCAAGGATATCATCCCGAGTCGCCCAAGGGTGGTTTTCGCTCGTTTTCGCACACACATCCACGTGCTTGCGAAGGTCGTGAGTCAAACCTTGTCTGGGAAAAAAAAAGGTAAGCATCTCGTCGTCATCGTCGACAGCCAACACAAGGAGCAACAAAATTGAAAGCTTCTGCCCTCGACAACATCCCTGGGTCGGGTGATGTTTACCGCGTTTTCGCCCCAAATGATTTACGCTGACAATCGGGGACCCTGTCAGACTCTGTGCCAGCATCCAACAAGAAATGTCCGGGGTTGTGTTTACGCACAGGTTGCTCCACGATAACTCCGTTACACGCTGAAAGGTTTGCTTTCCGGGCGCGGCGCGCGGATGGTTTCTCTCGATTACTGCAGGTGACTCTCTCCAAAGCAGACCTCGCATCCGTATCTACAGTAGTACATATCGATATTTTTATGTTTGCGCCCGTGCCACGCCAAGTAATTTCTTGTAGTAGTCCCTGGGTGCGAGAACGTCTGTCTAGAGGAGTTTGCACCAGCACCTCATTGCCCAGAAAATTGGTGAATGAGTGCAAGGTGGCTCACCCTCCCCCCTTGTTTGGAGACGGTATCGTCGTCGCCGATCAGGGTGCTCGCTACTTGCTGGGAGGTGTAGATGTCAGTGAAACTGCTCACGTTCACAATTCTTGCGTCGGGGAAACCGGTCCGTGCAAACGGCAGAAACATGCGGTACAGCCGTGCCATCGTTCTACCATCCTCCTTATACCCTTCTCTCATACATCGTGCTTTGTCTCCAACGCGTGCATACGGAATACTACCGACGTTCTACGG